ACCACTTTAACAAAGGACATTGTGTAGAGAATTTCTGAATCAACTGATGTATCTGTAACTGCAATTAAGTGGAGCTATTGTCCTATGTAATCAATGGAGACATGTGTTTGACTAATAAGTAGGCACGTACTACAAGAAAGTAAAGAGGAGCTAGACAGGGGTCACTGCAGCTAGACTGTGTTCATGGGCTATGAAAGGCTTACCAGATATGGTATAACTAAGATGAAAGATAGGCTATAAACAGACTCCTCTTCGGTGTTAATCTGGATATCTGGCATTTGATTCTGATTTCCTGCATGCCATGGAAGACACAGGTCATTCTCTCACATGGTACAGGTTCGAAGAAAAATCACATACCCAAGCATAGACATGATTCTACTTTCCTACTTCCCTATCCCCTTTGTGTAGGGTCAAAGTTAGCAGAAAATAGCCTGGATTCTAAAGCCCTTCAGCCTTTTCTGTCTTCTCTGGGGTGGAGAGACAGGCAGCTACTAGATTCTGGCAGGGATGCTATTGTTTGGTGGCTTTCACAAGTGCACTACTTAAAACTAAGCAGAGCCAGTTCAGTACTGAAGATTGTGTGGGACCTTTGCTCTCACATTAGGCATTACTGAGTGAAATGAAAGATGATATTCCCATAAACAATAACTGGAGTAACCAATTAAGTATATTTTTCTAATTTCTTGGTAAGTAGGTATTAAGGGCTGTATATACATTAAATAAAAGGAAGTATCAAGAATATGCATTTCTATGTAAACATCATCCGACTAAATGCTATTTTCACATATATAATACTATAGAATTAAATAGTAATATTTTAAATGCTCCACTTTTAACTTGCTCTTGAAATTAGCACAACTGACAACAACTTAATCAGTATTTCTACCCAAAACAATATATACTTGTGAAGATGTTGACTCTTAAGGTTTTGCTCTGGCTCTTTTGTTCTAAATTATACCTAAATCAATCCAAAAGAGTCAAGAGAGAAATAGAACAGTGGTGTTGAATGTCAAATCATATCATATAATTTAAATAAAATCCACTTACAGCTTTAAAATCAGGTTAACAGTCTCTGGTTGAATATAAAAGATGTAAGACATACATTTACACTGCTTATTCCCAAATTCTAACTAAATGAACCATATAGGAAGGAGAGTAAAAATCCCCAAAAGCAAAGAATTGTAAAAAAGGTGACAAGAGAAAAGAGATTTCAACAAAATTTAGAAGACACTAAGTATATAGACAATAACTTTTTTAGGTTTCAGCTTTCTTTGCTGTGCTGGATCTACAATAAGGAGGAACCTAGTAAAAAGACAATTCATTCAATTATATATCTGGGAAATCAGGAATTGGAGACAGCAGGTACCTCTGAAGGCAGGGTAGCAGAATGAATGAAAACAGAATGATTGGCTGAATTGGACTTCCCAGATCTTTTCTCTTGCCTAGTCATATAGTTTAGATCTGTGGTTGGCAAACTGCGGCTCGCGAGCCACATGCGGCTCTTTGGCCCCTTGAATGTGGCTCTTCCACAAAATACCACGTGCGGACGCACGTACAGTGCAATTGAAACTTCGTGGCCCATGCGCAGAAGTCGGTTTTCGGCCTGGGCGAGTCTATTTTGAAGTACTGTTGATATTTGGCTCTGTTGACTAATGAGTTTGCCGACCACTGGTTTAGATGATGGCCCTTCCCCAACTCTGGCACAATCTGGAATAACTAATGTTAAACCAGAAAAGATTGGGCTTGGGAGTATTAGACAGAACTTGGGGTTACAATGAAGAGCTGAAAACAAGGGAGGGTAGTACACAGACTCACATTTAGATTACTGCCTGCACACTGAATTCTGAGTCTCTATGTCAGCGGTCCTCAAATTACGGCCCGCAGGCCACATGCAAATACAAATATGTATTTGTTCCAGTTTTGTTTTTTTACTTCAAAATAAGATATGTGCAATGTGCATAGGAATTTGTTCATAGTTTTTTTTTAAACTATAGTCCGGCCCTCCAATGGTCTGAGGGACAGCGAACTGGCCCCCTGTTTAAAAAGTTTGAGGACCCCCGCTCTAAGTCTCCTTCCCAATCAGCTCCTACAACACTGGCTGTCAGACATTCCCCCAAAGATGAGAAAATGCACAAATCTTTTCTGGAGAAAATGATATGCTCAACAACCTGCAGACACTGATATTTAGCAGTTCCTCCCAAGAATGCTGCCAGGCCCTGGCTGGGTAGTTCAGCTGGTTAGAGCCAAGGTTGCTGGTTTGATCCCTGGTCAGGGCACATACAAGAGTCAACTGATGAATGCATAACTAAGTGAAAAAACAAATCAATCCCCCCCCCCCCCCCGCCCAAAACCAATAAAGAAAAAAACTGTTAAGAAAAAAGAGTGCTACCAGGTCTCCAACTGATCCAATAAAAGTCCCACCAATCAATAAGCTCCGCCACTTACAAAAAACTTCCAATATTTTCATACTACCCTCTTGAATATAAAGATACTCAAAGATCATGAGCCATTTGAGAACAATCTATAATAATAAAAGCGTAATATGCTAATTAGACCGGACAGCCGAATGACTTCCAGATGAAGCTGCAGTGATGGGGGCCAAGGCAGAGGCGGTTAAGGGCGATCAGGCAGGTGGACAGAGTGGTTAGGGGCGATCAGGCAGACAGGCGAGTGATTAGGGGCAATCAGGCAGGCAGGCAGGCAGAGGTGGTTAGGGGCCATCAGGCAGGCAGGCGAGCAGTTAGGAGCAATCAGGCAGAGTGGTTAGGGAAGATCAGGCAGGCAGGCAGGCGAGTGGTTAGGGGTGATGAGACAGGCAGGCGAGTGGTTAGGGGTGATGAGGCAGGCAGGCAGGCAAGCGGTTAGGAGACAGCAGTCCCAGATTGTGAGAGGGATGTCTGACTGCCAGTTTAGATATCCCCCAAGGGGTCCCGGATTGCAAGAGGGTGCAGGCTGAGCTGAGGGACCCTCCCACACCCATGCACGATTTTCGTGCACCAGGCCTCTAGTCTTTAACATAAATGTGATTAAAACAGAGAGAGGGGGACTAAAAACAAACAATGCAAGGCTCAAATTAAATGTAAAATATATTAATATCCTTAGAAGTAAAAAGATATTACACATCCATGACACATGAGTGCTATGGAAATGGAACATTCAAAGAAAAAGGTCCCAATAATTTAAAAAGTAAGAGTTGACACAAAAATTTCAACAGAAGGATTAAAAGAGAAAATTCAGAGAAAAACAAAAAATATAATATAAAATAAAAGGGGAGATAAGAAAATTAAAGAATCATTCAAAGAAATCAAACATCTGACTAACGAGTTTCTAAATAAACCCAAACCCCCCGCCCCCAGAAAACAGAGAATCTCACCAAAGAGACAATATAAAGCTATGGATAAAAATAGCAGACTAATCATATCTGCTTACTTTTGTCCTCTCCCCAATCCACACCAAAGTGATGGTAAAAGAATGTTTCTGTTTTTAAATACATCAATACAGTGAATGAACGAAACAAAGCAGTAAAATTTTGGAATCTAGAAAGCTGGCAGATAAGTGGTAAATGATGAGACAGAATGAGGAAACTTAATCAGAAAGCCAAGATGCACTCTGATTTTACTGCAGAACTCCCAGAAAGGATGAGGAAGTGATCAGATCGGGGTAAAAGTGTGAATGAATGTGTGTGTTGGTGGTGGTATTAGGAAAAAAGCGCTACTAAACGTAGTTACTTTCAAAAATGTAACCAGTTAAGATTTCCTTGCCTGAAAGAAGTCTGGAGATTTATGCTTTGGTGAGGATCTCCGGCCAATCCAGATGATTCAACAAATTGCTTCACATGTGCTCAGAGCTTCCATTCAGTCTTTTAGTGCCTCACACTTAAACAGGCAAATGTCACCAGATCTCTCTAAGAAGTCTTTAACACAGTGGTTCTCAACCTTCCTAATGCCACGACCCTTTAATACAGTTCCTCATGTTGTGGTGACCCCCAACCATAAAATTATTTTTGTTGCTACTTCATAACTATAATTTTGCTACTGTTATGAATCGTAATGTAAGTATCTGATATGCAGGATGTATTTTCACTGTTACAAATTAAACATAATTAAAGCATAGTGATTAATCACAAAAACAATATGTAATTATATATGTGTTTTCCGACGGTCTTAGGCGACCCCCGTGAAAGGGTCGTTCGACCCCCAAAGGGGTCGCGACCCACAGGTTGAGAACCACTGTTTTAACATGAAAGACAGCAACCAAACCAAACAAGAACAACTTAGAGGGAAAAGATACTTGGCATAAAGAAAATCTTTACAAAATCTATCAGTATCTCAAATAGACACAAGACAATGTAATCATAAAACAAATAGGATTCTATAAAGTGGGAGGAGGAGAAATAAAAAAAAAGCTCTTGAAAATTAAAAATTATAGCAGAAATTAAAAACTCAACTATAGCACTGGGAAGGTTGAGAAAATCTCCCAGAAAATTACAAAATATATAAAAACGAAAACATAAACACACATATAAGAAAACCAGTCTTAGACAACCAGTCTAGGAGGTAATATAATGCTTAGCTATAAATATTTTCATAGGTGTAACTAAAACCGACCACTGATTTAACAAAAAAACAAAAAAAGTCTGTTTACTTTCTGGAAACAGAAGGAAAGGAAAAAAAGGAGAAAGGTGCAATAATATCTAAAATTAAAGAAATACCATTATCACTTAACATTTAAACTTATGGAAGAAATCCTAAAAGAGGTAAAGGTGGCTCGACATGAGACTCAGGAACGGAAAGGCAGGCAACTGGCGTCTTTCCTTGAATTTCATTTCTAAACATTTACCTCTACTTTGAAATTTTGTCAATTAAATAAAGAGGATTTCAACAAAGAAAACTTCTCTAATGATCTAAATTCTTTTTCAAATAAGAGATGAGATCTAATGGTGTTAGCTACAAAAGGAAAACAAATTCGTAAGTTGATATTAATGATGTTTTGAAGGATACATTGCAAAAGACAAAACAAGCAGGCACCAAACTAAGCTGATATTCATTTCCTGTGTGGGCTTCATAAAAGTGTAGTAGACTTCAGTTACTAGATACACAACTGTAGCAGCCACTGTGAAATCCACCAGCCACTGATACTCTGGAAAGTAATGCAACGCTGAAAAATAAAGGTTAAAAAAAATTTTACTTAAACTTTCATAAACAGCTTAGAAGGGTTTATCTATAATTAACTATAAACATACTAGACTTTATTCTATTTGGTGTTTTGCAATGTAAGGATTACAAATATGAGAATCTAAAAATACAGGAAAGAGACCAAGAATTTTGGTATCCAAAACTAAATTTTAATACCACATAAATGAAATAATTAAAATAAACCTGAAATGATTACCAAAAATTATTTAAATTGTTAAAAATATATGATTGCAAAATGAGTTGGTATTTTCTTAGCTGATTAGCTATATTTTACAGAAGTTATAAATCAAACTTCTTTATAAAGAATCTAATCTATACTTTAGAACAGCGATTTTCAACCTTTTTCATCTCATGGCACATATAAACTAATTACTAAAATTCTGCAGCATACCAAAAAAATATATTTTTGCTCAACTGACAAAAAAACATATATAAATAATTTTGGTTCATTCACATAGGACAGCTATTGTCATTGGCTGTTGTTACTTCTTAATTTGACAATCTAAGGGAAAAGAGGTCAGTGCCCCAGACTAAATAAGTATGGCATGTTTTAAAAATTCTTGCAGCACACTATTTGAAAATCACTGCTTTAGAATACAATCTAATATAGACTACTACAGCTTTACTTACATTAATTTCTGTGAGGAATGCTAAACTTTATGTTACAGTTATTAATTGCATTAATGGAGGATTAGTAATTTTGAGTTACTGCAGGTTAAAATAATAAATTAATCTACTTTTTAATAAGTTATCTGCTCCTGTAAGAAAAGCTGATGAAATGCCTATAAATTTTCCATAAAACCACACCGTTTCAACAAACTATTCCATTCTTTTTTTAAAAAAAAATATTTTTTTGATTTTTTTACAGAGAGGAAGGGAGAGGGATAGAGTTATAAACATCAATGAGAGAGAAACACTGATCAACTGTCTCCTGCACACCCCCTACTGGAGATGTGCCCACAACCAAGGTACATGCCCTTGACCAGAATGGAACCTGGGACCCCCTTCAGTCTGCAGGCCGACGCTCTATCCACTGAGCCAAACCGGTTAGGGCAAAACTATTCCATTCTTAAGGGTTTACATTAAAATTAGCATTCTCTGAAAGTATTTATGATTCCCTCTTCCTTTTCATTTCAGATATTCTGGTTTACTTCTGCCAGAGTATATATAGTCCAAAATATCAACATCATTTTATAGAAGGCCTCCTAAAAATGTGGAAGTAAATCACATGCATATACATTAGTTTGTATGTTCTCACTGGCACATAATAAAACGACCTACATTGCTTTGGAAAATTTTTAGTGATAAAATGTAATGTCTGAGGCTATTTTAAAATCACACTTTTATAGAAAAAGTATTTTAAAAATAGCACTCAAAGTAAGACTTACTTAAAATATCAAAGACAAACTAACCAAACTTACATCATCTCTGTGAGGTAATAGCAAAAATTCCAAATCCTTTTATGATTGAGTAAATTTTTTATTTGGTTCAAGTTACTTTAATTGCTTTAGGTTTTTTTGGTGTGATGTCTAGCTTCTGAACATCAGTAGAAAAAATTTACCCTAAAGTGGTTGCAGGATTCCTACACTCTTTCCCTCTCTAAAATCACCCAGTGAAGCCTTCTGAATTACTTTCTGGAAGAAGGACAGGGAAATGGATGAAACAGATAGACAGTTATCTGTTGTTAATTTTTATTAACAACAACTGAAGTCTTCTAATTCTCCATGCCTGCCCACACGCACATAAGGTTACCTCCAGGGAACTTAACAGCAAACAGCCAAGTGACATTCAAATGTTCTTATGCTCCTTAAGAGGAACTTACAATGAATATATAATACTAATTGAGAGATACTTTTAAGATATTCAGGCATCAATAAGATATACATTCAGCAAAAGTACAAATTATACATATTCTTTGCTATATATTTAATCCAAGTATTATATTCTTCTTTTTGTATCAATAATATAATTATATACCTCACCTTTTCATATGATACTGAAATAGAGAGAAAATTTAAGAGTTTATCAAGTCCAGTAATTTCCATTAAGCTCCTGAGTACCTAAAGTTCAGGTAAAAAACTCTCTACTTTTTACCTACACACACAAACATGCATTCACAAATAAATACATTAATATAAACATAAATAAAACATCTCCCCGTTATTTTGATGAAGTGAAATGCTCTTGATATTTTGTGGCCAGTTGTTAAACTAGTAATATTTGCAATTAGTTCTCGAAACTGTACAAGTAAACAAACCATTGATTAATCTGTGTGCTGAAGCCACATTACCCTAATTTCAATTTTTAAGTTCATTAATAGCCTAGTTCTCGCTGACTGCTTCTGCCACATTCAGTGCGTAATCCTGGCCAAGTTATTAAACCTCTATCTAATGATGGCTGTTGTTTTTTAAACTTTGGTAAGTTATGTACCTCACAGAATGTGAAGATGAGTTAATACAGGTAAAGCACTTATAACAATGGCTGATAAATATGGAATTTTAAGCTGTTATTAAAGCTAATTAGCTGATAGTTATTTGATAAATGTTAGTTATTGGTAAAAGTGATGAAGTCTATACTAGAAACCGAGATATGCATATATATTCTTGCATTTATACATGTGTGTGAACATTTTATATAAGTAAGGGTACACACAGGATAGTAAAACTAATGTGACAATTAATAAAAGAAGCCAAAGTGCTTTTAAATGTTTTAAATTATGAATGAAAAACAGTATAAAAGAAAAAAGGATGACATAACCAGTCTTAATGCTACTAGACAATTGACTTAAATTATTTCTCATTGACATTTTTGGGTCCTAGGACATCCTTTCCACATATAGACATAAAATCTTTGTAGATGTAGAATCAACTTTCAAATATATTGAAGCCACTTTAAATCACAAAATAATTCTAAATTTCATAGATGCTAGATGAATTTGAAGGTTTTTCTGGGATGGCAAGATTTAACACAAGAAGCAGGGCCTAATTATTACTTAATGATACTTTTATTCAACACTACCAAAATTATTATTTTTTAAAACACAGGTTGCCCAGCTGGTATTGCTCAGTGGTTGAGCACTGACCAATGAACCAGGAGGTCACAGTTTAATTCCTGGTCAGAGCACATGCCTGGGTTGCAGGCTCGATCCCCAGTAGGGGGTGTACAGAAGGCAGCAGATCAATGACTCATTCTCATCATTCATTTTTCTCTTTCTCCGTCTCCCTTCCTCTCTGAAATCAATAAAAAGTATATTTAAAAAAAAACCCCAAACACATTATTTTAACTCCTCACGTAATATAAACCACTACTTCTCAAACCTACTCAAAAATCAGAACCACTTTGAACATTTTAAAAAAATACAAATTCCCAGGATCCACTTTATATTTACTGCATCTCCAACAGTAGATATGAGAATTCTTTATTTTTAAAGAGCTGCTCAAGTGATTCTGAGGTACAGTCAGGTTTGAAAACCAGTGTTCTGAATATCACATTAGATGACTTTCTCTTCTAGGACTGAAATATTTTCATTTTAAATTTATTATCACTATGGTTATTATATAATTACTAGAGGCCAGATGCACGAATTTGTGCACGGGTGGGGTCTCTCGGGGTGGCCTGCGGGGATTGGGCCCCAGATCATGCAGCCTGCCTGGCACCCCGCCTTGGCCTGGCGCTGCCCCCTCATCTGCTCCACCATCCCGCCCTGGTCCTGCTCTAGTTGGGGCCCATCGGGGCCAGCAATGCCTCCACTGCCGCCCCCTGCCAGCGCCACGTCACCCACACCTGCCACGTTCCGTGCCGCCCCCTGGTGGTCAGCTCATGTCATAGCAAGAGGTCGAATTCCCGGTTAAACAATTTGCGTATTAGGCTTTTATTATGTAGGGTAAACACTTGACATACACAGGAAAAAACTGAATGACTTATTCAGAGATACCCAATGGGTAAAAAGTAAATCTTGAAGAAGTAAAATGTTCTATTCCTAATCCAGTTTATTATTCTAAAATCACTTTCTTTTCTACTAAATGTGAGCATAAAGTTGAATTACTGCAAATATAGGTAATTCAATACAAATGTACAAATGTATTTAATATTTTTTTTTATTGATTTCAGAGAGGGAGAGAGGGAGAGAGAGATAGAAACATCAATGATGAGAGAGAATTGGTTGCCTCCTGCACGCCCCACACTGGGGATCGAGCCCGCAACCCAGGCATGTGCCCTCAGCTGGAATGAACGTGGGACCCTTTAGTCCGCAGGCCAACGCTGTATCCACTGAGCCAAATTGGCGAGGGCTACAAATGCATTTTTGCAAGCCACATTATAAGAAACAGACTAGGATAGATGGCAAAAAGTCTAGAATTCGAAATAATGAACACTGATCTCAGCATGAACAAAAAATGTGTAACAAACTTGTATAAGTCAGCCTCTGCTAAAAAATGGGAAAAAATAATGCTTACTATAAGTTAGGTGAAAAGAGAAATTCAATTCAAATGAAGTCATTTTGAGCTTCTAAGTTCTGAGAAAGATTTCATATTCTGAATAATTAACTTAGTGATTAGAAAAACATACAAAAAGTCTAGCCACAACAGATAAAGGTACTTTTACTAGCATAATATAAAACTGAGATTTACAGAATACTTTGCCCAAGATTTCCCTTACCAAAGGTATCCACTTCTGTAACTGACTTTGTTTCTAGATGGAGGTCAATATCCTTTGGAATGGTTAGTGGTTTACTTTCAATGTGACCATTATATTTCCTATAAAAATCAGACAAGTGAAATAAGAAAACAAGTTACCTACATTGTTATCCAAGTTTTGTATCAAACCAATTACAAATGCAGTTTGAAATTTCAGTGAAAAAGAAGCAGAACTTTTAATAACTCATCAAAATGGAGGTAAGGTACTCAAAAGAAGTTTTTAAAAGGGGGACTATAAACTATGAATGTAAATTATTATGTGAATACAGATTGTCAGGAAAAGACAGATTAGTGATGGAAATAAAATCTTAATTGCTAGTTTAGCATTTCACCCCATTTCTCCTACAGTCTCCTGGAGATTTAAAGACAACCTAACATCTTTTTTAGGGACAAAGGAAAAGCAAGTGAAGACAAAATGCATTTCTCATTGTAATTAAACATGTATACACACACATACATATAAGCAGATCTGTAGCTATAAACATGTCAGAGCAAAAGAAATATATTAAGACTTATGTGCACGAGAAACATGAAAGGCCAACTCAGATGCTTTTACTAAGAATCACAAAAGGAGGAAACCACAGAAATCTTCAGGTGCACACAAATTTAATTTTTAAAGATATATATTAAAAATAATAAACTAAGTTTCAGTAACACTAATTACAATACCAAGAAACAATTTTGCATTTATTCTCAAATAAGTATAAACTAGGAAAATCTCAGTAAAAATATTAATTCATGTCAGTAAGTCAAATAATTATTGCTGCCAGGAACAAAATGTCATTTAGAGTACTTTTTTAAAAATATATTTTATTGATTTTTTACAGAGAGGAAGGGAGAGGAATAGAGAGTTAGAAACATGGATGAGAGAGAAACATCGATCAACTGCCTCCTGCACACCCCCTACTGGGGATGTGCCCGCAACCAAGGTACATGCCCTTGACTGGAATCGAACCTGGGACCTTTCAGTCCCCAGGCCGACGCTCTATCCACTGAGCCAAACCGGTTACGGCTAGTGTACTTTTTTGTAAATGTAAAGCATTTCAACATACAAAAACTACTGTAAAAATAATAAAATTATTGATTATAAAGCATACAATAAGAATTAAATGTTTGTAAAACAAATACTATATTACATAACTAAATTTTACAAATGTTGGACATGGTAGCTATGAATAGGTAGAGGTGGAATGGGGGCAGGCTGGGAGATGACAATGGGGTGAAAGGGGACATATGTAATACTTTCAACAATAAAGAATTAAAAAAAAAAAAAAAAGAAATGCAGAAACTAAAAAAACCTGGATTAAAATCCTGACTCTTAGTAGGATTATGGGAACTTGCTCAATTCATTTAACCTCTCTGATCAACAACTTACTCATAGGTAAAATATAAATTAAAATAATAACATATAGCCCTGACTGGTTTGGCTCACTGGATAGAGCGTCGGCCTGGGGACTGAAGGGTCTCAGGTTCGATTCCTGTCAAGGGCATGTACCTTAGTTGCAGGCACATCCCCAGTGGGGGGCGTGCAGGAGGCAGCTGATTGATGCTTCTCTCTCATCGATGTTTCTGACTCTCTGTCCCTCTCCCTTCCTCTCTGTAAAAAATCAATAAAATATATTAAAAAAATAATAATAACATATATTCAGGATTGTGTAGATTAAGTTAAACTGTTTAAAAATTCTTTGGCAATTATAATATTAAGCAGGAATATTTTTTTAAAAAATAACTATTGAAATTCAGAGAAGGAGGGTTACACTTAATCTTCTAATGAGCTTCAAGGTTTGTAATTATAAGTGAAAAAGAGAATAGTAGTGAGATCAGAAAAGACATTTTTTTCAAATTTCCAATTACAAGCAAAATAATCATTAATGTTTACAGAATTTTTAGCCTGGCTGGTGTGCTCAGTGGTTGACTATCAACCTATGAACCAAAAGGTCCCCAATTTGATTCCTGGTTAGTGCACATGCCCGGGGTTGTGGGCTCAATCCCTGGTGGGGGGCATGCAGGAGGCAGCCAATCAATGTATCTTTCTCTATCCCTCTCCCTTCCTCTCTCTCTCTAAAATCAATAAAGATATATTTAAAACAATAAAAAATAATTTTTAAATTTGGTGACAGTTCGTTCTCACTGACATTTTATAACATTAGAATAATAGTTTCAAGTCGTAAGAAGTCCTCCCCATCCCCAACTGAGGAATCTAAAACTAAGGCCCATTCAGAAAGGCTAATTAACAAACACTTTCTTTGAGAATGCTATTTAAATAGAGACATAAAATTTTAAAGCTGAAAGGATCCTTCAAAATTAGTTTGGTCCTTCCATTTCACAGATGAGGCTGCTGTGGTCCATTCAGTAATGTTTAGGTTAAGCGTTTTCTTTATAAACTTTAAACATCAAAATAATATTCAGCAGCTGAATGGCACCTAAAAAGTTATTATGTCTACCCCTTTGATGTAAAAAATGAGGAAACAGAAGTCAAAAGCATATGAATTTGCCCAATATCATCATAATGAGTGGTAATAAAAGGTGGGAAGGAATCCAAACTAACTGGTATCTTTAAATGACTTATAAAGACATGGATTATGGGTCTTCCCATCAATCCCACACTGAATTTTAATATGATGGCTACTTGTTTTCATTACTGAAACACAGAGAAGAATATAGCTGACTATGCTTAAGTAAAATAATCATTTTTGTGCTTATATATTGGATGATCACAAAAGGGGTTTTCTTAGAGGGTGAGTCAATATTATTTTAGATCATGGATTTTGAGCTCAAACTTGTCAACTGTTTATGGTGTAATTAGTAAATGTTACTTTAACCAAAGTACAAAAATGTACTTAGATAAACTGTGTCAAATATTTAACACTTTACAAATTCAACAATATAACTTACCTATCTTTTTTGCTTTTTCCTTTTTGCTGCTTCCCTGCAAGTATTCTTAATTCTTCTTCTGTAGGATGTTGATACCATCTTAAACTAAGAAAAAGAGGAATCCTTTTAAATAAAGCAATTAAAATCACCAAAATTATTCATTTGTTCTATAAATATTTATTGAATTTCCTATTTGTGGAGACAATGCTGGGGAAATTCAGGTGAAATCTCTAATCTGATACTAATAGATACTTAAAAGGATTTATTTAGATACAAATCCAGCAAACGCCAAGCACTTACTAGATAGATGCCAGACCCTGAAGTGTTGTTTGTTGGTATATTTCTTACAACTAACAATGTATTAACATATATTAAGATGATAAAGGCTTACTATTAAAAATAAATGGAGTAAACTGCAGGCAAGCTGCAGCAGCACATTGAACTTCTCCACCCACCCCTTCATTTACACAAAAGGAACTGATAAAAAGAGAGTCCCTTGAGTGCTCCCCAAAATACAAGTAGTCTTTGCTTTGCTTTCCTTCCTTTAATGTAGTTGGAGAATTATCAAATTTTATGTGTATGGAAATTAGAGTAAATTGTTGTTATTTTAAAAACCCTTTATACTCCTTTCTCTCTCCGCCTGCCACCCTGCCACCCAAGATCCAAGATCCTAAAAGAAAAAGGCTAAGGGGAGGAAGGTGGTGCCAGCCCCAAAGGGATCACAACTGATTGTCAAATGGCTCCAATACATTTGGCTGCAGGGACAAAAGGCTATTCTCTGGAAGTGACTAAAAGTGCTTCCTGCCATTAACCAGTTCACTCAGGCCCAGGACCACCAAACAGCTACTCAACTGCTAAACCTGGCCCATAAGTACAGACCAGAAACATAGCAGGAGAAGAAGCGGAGACTGTTGGCAAGGGCTGAGAAGAAAGCTGCCGGCAAAGGGGATGTCCCCACCAAGAAGCCACTTGTCCTTCAGGCGGGGATTAACACTGTACCACACTGGTGGAGAACCAGAAGGCCCAGCTGGTAGTGATCACACACATTGTGGATCCCATCAAGATGGTTGTCTTCCTGTCTGCCCTATGCCTTCCCTCTGGACACTCTCCTAAGTACATTCTGATCCCACCTTTAGTTATTTTTCCATAATGCAAATCTTATCAAGAAATATGCCTGTGTAAATCCTTTATAAGACTTCACAGGGTGAAGCAGTAAGACAGCTAGGCAAGGACTCTAACCAAGGTCCTATTGTCATAAAAGAGAAACAGTTTTGCTAGAGCTTGCTATTTTTCAATTACAAAAAAAATCTAGAATTTTAAAGTGAAATATGCCAATTAAAAAAATATTAGCAATTGATTTGCTGTTTTTAAAAACACTGCAGAACTGACAATGTGAATAATGACTGGAAATTTGATGTTAGAAATTTTTAGCTGTAATAATGTGATAATAGTAATTTTTAAAAAGCTCATGTATTTTAGAGATGTATACTGAAATATCTATGAATGAAGTAATATTTGCTACAAATAATATGTTTGGAGGGGAGAAGAAATGAAACAAACTGACAACCAGCTATTAATTGTGATGAGTACATAGGAGGAGTTCATGATATTCATTATATAGTCATTATGTTATTCTGTTTACTCTTTGTATATGTTGGAAATTTTCCATTGAAATTAAAACACATAAAGCCCAAATATGTTTAGGTTTTGTGACCTTCTGTTCCATAGCATTTCGCTACCAGCTACTTTACTGGATCCACCTTCAAAAATTCCCCTTTTGAACATGACAATCTACCTAGACTAAATGACATTGTATTTCACAAAGTGTTTCATTCCTGGTGTTTTGGCATTCCTGATTCTGCTTTTAAAAACCTATGCACCTATCTGGCAAACTCCACTTTTACCTTTTATAAGGCAGTCTCCCTGTGATAAACTAAAGAATATATCTGATTACTGTCCCCAGTTCTTGGCACACAGCCTCAAAAGCCCTTGGGGCCATTGTGGTTCAGAAAGTTGGGCATCCTCTGTGCACCGAAGGGTTTGGAGTCTTGGTCCCCAGTGAGGACAATGCAGGAGGCAGCTGATCAATGTTTCGCTCTCACATCCATATTTTTCTCTTTCTCTGAAAATCAATGAAAAATTTTTAAAAAGCCCCTGGAATTTCCTTAGTAATAGGAGGTGTCTTTGTTATGGGTTAAAATGGAATATCCCACTGACTGAAAAATTCTTGGAGTGAAGATTTTATGTACAGTTACTGGCTGTTAAGTGCCCCAAAAGGATCACTGAACCAAAATGAATTCAGTTCTCCTCTTAAATTTAAAGATTTTAAAATATAACATATATTCTAACCAAAAAGTCCCTAAACTATAATTAACATGGGTTAGGAGGCACTTACTGAAGTCCAGAATTTTAACTTACAATTGATTCTCATAAAGTTGCCACAAACACTGTACCTGAGAGCCTCTGGTCAGTAATATTTTCATCAACCAATCAATACATAATCTTGTTGTATGTGTGTTTATGTTTAAAGGTACTTTATATACAGACAGTCCTCGGGTTACGACGGACTCGACCTACGTCGTTTCGTGGTTATGTCGCCATCTCCCATTTATTTATAAAAAAAAAAGTTCCACCATTTCTACGTATGTACATATGTGCTTTATGTTTTTTATTACTTATTAACCACAAGTAAAGGTCAGGAATTGTTATCTTTCTTTTAAAGTTTTTTTACTGTTTCACTTCATTATTGCTGCATATGTGCTCCATGTGAGTGACGTAGGTGCTTATGTAGGTGGGTAGGAATGGATCTCCAATGTAACCCGAGAACCTACTGTATATTAATTCATTAACATTAAGTTCACAGCCCAGTCAACAGAGCTATAACTCATGCCTCAACAAAGCTTACCTAATAATTGTAATCATAAGTATTGTATTTTCCTGAGTTCTATGAATATTTGCAGCAAATTTTCTCTATAGCACACATCATAGCTTTCTTCTGCTTAGGAACACTAAATGGCATTTCAGTACTATTCTTGGAAGCCATTTTTAATAGTGAAGTCATCAACAAAAAGCAAAAATGAAAAATGTGGCACCAAATAGACTACAAAAAGGACATCTATTTATAATATGAGAGGGGAAACAATAAGGCCTCACTTGCTGGGAAATGGGCACAGGGCCATTCAAAATTTTCCCCTCTGCATGTCTGTGAACTACCTCCAAAGTGTCACAGCTATGGATTTTGTGGTGCTTCAATGAATACATTTTACAAGTAAACTTTAATAAGTAAGCAAATCACAAATATAAAATACACAAATGATGAGAACTGAGTATATAACATTTAAAAAAACACTTAAGCAATAATTCAATTTAGAGACTAAATTTAATTGTTTAGCTCTTAATATAAGAAAAGTTGGGTTACATTTAAAATCCTATAATAAAATATTTTAAGACCCTTACATTTTCTAGGACCCATTTTCTTTTTAAATATACTCATTTGTTTACTCTTATTTCTAAACTGGATTGCATTTATTTTATACTTCTTACTTGACAACTCAGGTCATCTTCATTAGGAATAATTACTGTTCAAAATTGGAATTTAAGGATGCTCTGCTGGGTGCTCTTAGAGCTCCTTCTAGTCTGTTACTCTTCATTCATTCATTCATTCATTCATTCGACAATTACGGTCAAGTACTCTCCTAGGCAATGGAGTATAACCACACACAATAAAGCCTAAGTCCATGCTTTGCTGATACTTATATTCCAGTTGAGGCAGAATTTAACCAATAAAAAATATGACAGCCTGGCCGGTGTAGCTCGGTGGTTGGAGCATCCACCTATGAACCAGGAGGTCATGGTTCGATTCTGGTCAGGGCCCATGCCTAGGTTGTGGGCTCGATCCCTACCTAGCAGGGGTCATGCAGGAGATAGCCAATCAATGATTCTCTTCATTGATGTTTCTATCCCTTCCTCTCTGAAATCAATATTTATTTTAAAAATGTGACCAAAAAAATCATAAAGTGGGTACCATGCAAAAGAACCAAACAAGTGGTGTGAATGAGAGACATAAGGCTTAAGTATTAGGTTAGAAGAAACTCTTTAAATGACATTTACCCAGAAAGCTAAGGATAAGAACAACAGAGGGGGAGAGCATTCCAGGCAGAAAACAGCATGCCCAAAAGCACAAAAGCATGAGAGAACACTGCAGTAACCAAAAGACCAAGAAGGCAGTAGAACCATGTGCAAGGAGAAACACATGAAGGAGGCTGAAAAGATGATCATGCAAAACCCCCGGGTCATGCATGGTATGGAGTTTAGATTTTATGCTAAAGTAGTGGTCTCAAGGCAGGAGGAAAGACTTGATTTGCATTTTAAGATCTCTTTTACTGCTCTGTGAATTAGAGGGAGGCTAGAAGAGCAGAGAGATATATTTTGGATATCAAATCAACAGATCTTGCTGATGGACTAAAGGCAGGGAGTGAAAAAAAGGAATGAAGGATGATGTCTACCATTTCCAATTTGAGAAAGATGGTGGTACATTTTCTGAAATGGAGTAGAGCAGGAAGAAATAAAGAATTTAAGTATGCTGAATTTTTAAGTACCTATGACATATCAAGTGAAAATATCAAGAAGGTAACTGTATATTACAGTCTACAACTCAGAGACACTTTGATGTCATTACATAATTGTGGTTTTTAAATCCATAGGAATTAATAAGATAGCCTAAGGAGAAAATAAAACATGGTAGAAGCTAAACAGTTAATAAGGAAGTGAGAAAGTGAAGTTTATAGAGACAATAAAGCAACTGACAGAGAAGCAAAGTCTGGGTGAAGCTTAGAAGAAATGGGGTACAGAGTACAAGTGCAGGAACTGAAGCATGACAGACAGGATACTTCCTTCATAGACAAAAATTAAAATATATAACATTAAAGAAAAGAAGGGTTGCATGTGTAACTAGGTTTGTAGGTTTGGTGCTGTGAAGATGAGAGCAACTGACTTTGGTTTTAAGAGGTTAGTGTGAGGCTGAGGCAGACAAGCATGTTTCAGGAGAAAGGCTTTCGGGTTGAAAAACTGTCTATGAAGTAGAGCATACAAAGACTGCCAGGCCT